TCTTTTTTCCATTGTATATCCTTGCCTCCTTTGTCGAAGATAAGGTGACCATAGGTTCGTGGATTTATCTCTGGGCTTTCTATTCTGTTCCATTGATCTATGAGATGGCACTTTAAATTTATCCATTCAAAAATGTTCATTGAACACCTGTTAAATGTGAGGCCCCAAACCATGTGTTGAGAATACAGAGTTGAACAGGACACAGGCCCTGGTCTCTCTTATGGTCTAACCAAGGAGACAGACATGAAATCAAAATGATTACCTTAAAACTGTCATGAGGTATATAAAATTTTATTCCATTGAAGAAAGATAAGCGTGAAAGTGAAAGAAGTCACTCAGTCGTGTCCGACTCTGTGGGACCCCTTGGACGGTAGCCTACCAGGCTCCGAGGTCCCTGGGATTTTCCAGGTAAGAATACTGGAGTGGGCTGCCATTTCCTTCTCCAGGGGATCTTCCCAACCAACACAAATATATAACACTGCTGGTAAGTGCTGTAAAGAAAAAAAAAAAGGATGGGAGGGATAGGTAGTCAGCAGGGAGAGTATGCTGTTGTACAGGGTGTTCAGAAAAGGCCTCACCATAAGGTACCATTTGACTAAAGAAAGGGTGAGAGATTGAGCTGGATGAGTGTCTTGGGGAAGAGCATCCCAGGTAATGGGAAATAAGAATTAAGGCAGACTTGTGCTTGTATGCCTAGAGAGATTCCTTATTCCTAAATAAGGAATCAAAGTCAATGAAATATTCTTTGTACAGTGTTGTTTCTTTAGGTCTAAAAAAGAAAAAACTAATAGTGTGTCTGGAGTAGTGAGTGAGAGGGAGTGTAGAAGATGATGAGAGAGATAATAAGGCTGGCTGAGTGATCTGAAGCCTTGAAGGCTATGAGTTGGACTTTGGATTTTACTCAGAATGAGAAGAGAAAACTCATGCAGAGAAACTTTAACTTGATGGAGCAGGTAAAGGGAGCAATTACAGGTTTAGAGGTATAGGAAAATAAAAGTGGAATCAGTACTTCGGAGCTCAGTTCAACATGAAGGATGGGTGGGAGAGATTGAAAGCAGAAAGACCATCCTGAAAGTTCAAGTGTGAGATGATGAAAACTAACTAGAGTGGGCAGTGAGAACTACATAAAATTGAAACGTTTTCAAAGAAAGCAATTTACTGCCTTGGTGTGGGATAACTGAGCTTGCACCTTCAGAACCACTGACTTCAGATACAAACAGATGTCCTGTGAGAGGCAAATGAGGCCAAAGGCACTGTTTCTAAAATGGAACCACAAGACAGTTTCAAAAGAAACCTGCTGTTTGTAATTGAAACTAGTTCTTTGTTTGAAATAGAACAAATTTTAAAAAGTAACTAGAAGACCTAAAATAATTTCCATTATCCTGAAAAATAAGCAGAATTGATCCTGCTTATCAGCTGCCAGTTCAGTAGTTATGAGCAGGCAAGCAAGGTGGACTTAGGCTGGCATGAGCCTAAGTCCACATCTGCACATCAGCAGGTTTTATTAGGAATGCATCTCCCTTTTTAGGGTCTAAATAAGGAATCAAAAGTCAATGAAATATTCTTAGTATAATGCTGCCTCTTTACTGAAACACTTTTGTGTCACTTATTTTACTGAAACACTTTTGTGTCACTTATTTTATTGTTTATAATTTTCTTGAACAGGGTTGAAGGCTCTGAAAATAATGTACAGAAAATGTGACATAGGTATGTGGAGAGGCATATGTGGTAGAAGGGTCCTGTTCTGGAAATCAAGGATTACAAAGTAGAATATATTATTGACATTAGTTTAGAAAAGTGTATGGTAGTATAGATATAATAATTGATCAAAGAAATATCAATACCTTTAACAACTGGTAATAGTACTAATAATTTTTCCATAAAATTTATGTGGCCACACTTTAAGAAGCCAGAGGATTTGGCACTGTGTGGATATTTAAATATGAAAAGTACTTAACTGTTTAAGTATGTTTTCCCACCTCAGTTACTTAAACTTCTTTCCTACTATTCCTCAGGGTGTGCAGATGACAAATAATGCCTTTTCCTTCAATATTTTAAAGCTGATTACATTGAAAATGTAAAAAACACTTGAAAGACTTAACCATAGTTTTGTTTCTTGTTTTTGTTTTTGGAGTGGGGGTGATAATAGCAACAGGGATACATAGGGGTGTGACACATTTTAGAAAAAGCATTGTTTACTTATTAGCAAATTATTTATGTTTATTTAACCTGATTGAACCAGAGGTTACTTGCTTTTTAAAATGGCTAATTCTACTTCATCAGTTGCTGTTTTTTTTTTTTTTTCTGAACAGAGATATTGCTTAAACAGAACAAAGTCCAAAGAAAACTTGATTTAACCAAATCAAACTCCGATGCCAAGGTTAGTAAACCAAGATCATTAAAATGTTGCATAAAAAGAATTAAACTAATGCAAGTTTGAGTCCAGGCTTAAGGATTTGCTCTTTTGAAGAGTAACACTGATTTTTCTAAGCTCAGGGAGGTTCAGTTTCTGAGAAAATAGACTTGTGTTTATGTATCTTAAAACCATTGAGAGGCTTGTGATTGTGTATCTTTTCAAGTGGTCTTGGGACATATGCTTTGGGATTTTTGTGATGGGGCCCTAAGCTAAAAACATTTTGACCAAAAGTATCATCTTCATTCTAAAGACTGTGTACTTGTATCTTGTACAAAGGAATTGAGTTTTTCAATTTCATGCACAGCAAACACATTTTTACACATATGAGGCAAATGATGAAAAAAAAAGATAAAAGTTAACAGGTAGTTATTTGAATTCTTACTGTTTTCAGGCCTCTCACAGCAGTTTAGTTCTTACTCTTTTGTATGCAATATAACATTTCATAGTAGGCATTTGATATTAAATGAGTTAAGATGTATTTCACCTTTCACAGATTTTGAAACCCTTGGCAAGACATTTTAGTCAACGATACAAATCTATAGTTGAAAGGAGGGCTTTATCATCAGCTCAGGACAGGAAAAACCCAAGTATAAGAAGGTGGCTAATATGATCACTGATGTCATTAACTTTGTTGTCTAATCATTCCAGTTTCTACCTCCCTTTAGTCTCAAAAGTGAAAAAAAAAAAAAGTCTACTTGCAAGAAAAAAAGAAGTCACCTTGCCTAGAAAGGAAGTTTGAATGTTGTACTTTAAATTCTTAGAAGAGGAAATAAAATTGCCATTTAAATATGTTAATGAACTTTGGCATGACTTGCTATATGAATCAGCGAGTTTCAAAATTAAAATTACTTTTGAATCCCCAGGTCAAAAAGCAAAGGCCTCCTCTTCGATTTGATTACTTTGAACACCTATACCTAATTAACCTTTAAAAAAAAATCCCTTATAAATTACACCTGGAATATGATGAAATGTGACATGAAATACCGTGATAAACATTAATCGGTTCAACAGAGGACAATGAAGTCTGTCCTCTCAGGTAATCTTCACAAAAACTGGAGAACTGTCAGTCCCACCCCTCGAAGGCTGCCACTGAAACCCTGACTGTCCTCAGATCCCGGCCTTGCCGCGTTCACGACGGCGGGGATTTCCGTGTCGGTGACACACGCCACTTCCGGCCGACGGTGAGAGTCAGTGACGTGGCAGGAGAGGCCGAGCACGGTCCTTCGGGCCGGGACACTCGGAGCTGTCAAGTGGCTTCAGGGCAGCCCCGCCGGGAGAGAAGAGCTCACCGACTGCGGCTGCCGCTGCGAGGCCGGAGCCGGAAGTGCCACGTGTCCCGATTGCGCCTGCGCGCCCAGCGGCTGACAGGCAGTTCCGGTCGGGGCCTCCCTCGGTCTCTCTCCGCTTGGCTGCTGCTTTCCAACCCGGCGTTCTCGGCCCCACCGGCCCGACATTCAAGCCTCGGCACCCAGGCCAAGCTCTGACCGCCGGCGGACTGGAGAGAATGCGGCGCCATGCGTAGGGCTCCCTGCGCCGCCCTCTCTCTATCCGGCTTTCAGTCCTAAGTCGTTAGCCCCCTCCTGGCTTCCAGCCGTCGTTTTTCAACTCTCGGCTTGGGGCTGTCTCAGACCCCGACCAGACCCCTATAAAAGTCGTCATGTCCCAGCCCGGGATACCCGCCTCTGGCGGCGCCTCCACCGGCCTCCAGGCCCAGAACGGGGCCGCCTCGGCGTCGGGGTCTCCCTACACCAACGGTAAGTACCTCTGGGTGTTGAGAGCTGGGGAAGGCGAAGTTTGGGCCCCGGCCCGAGTTGACCTTTGGTTGTTGCCTCCGTCTGAGGGGACAGCAGGCGAGAGTGACTTCCCTGCCAGGGTCAGGAGCTCCTGGAGCTGGGAAGCTGAGCCACAGGGACCGCGACTCGTCTTAGTGTTTCATATTTATTTATTCTTTCGTTCAGCACACAGTTGCTGAGCACTTGCTGTATAAAACGCCCTGGGTATACATGGGTGAAAAACAGACTCCGTCTGTACCTCACAACTCGCATGCAAGGCTCTTGGCATCTGTTTACGTGCCCTTTCTCTCCGCGCCACCTCACCTTCGTCTTCTGGAGAGCACGGTTTGGGGTCTGACTCATTTCGGTCCGGTCGGGCCTGCATTAAGTACTCAGTGTGAACCTGCGGAGATGAATGGAGGATTATGCTTTGCCTCTTTAGGGCCTGCTCCTCTCTCCCTGAACCTTCCCGGAATTGTACCTAGGCCACCTGTTCAGTTTTTCAGCTTTAGAAGGGGAGGATCTCCTGTTTGATTTCCAGAGGTCGTTACATCACTTGGAAAGTGATTGGACACAAAGTCTGTGAACCTCTGGCCAGAGTGTACATGTGGCACAGTAATTTGTCATTCGGTGTGAGGATGTCTTCTGATTTTATACTCTTTCTAGGATTCTTTAAATTGTCCTATGTTGTGATTTGCTAAGTTCTTTATAATCATAAAGAACTTATAATAAAGACAGATGTTCTCCCAACGGTTTTCCAGGTTACCAGTTTACTTATAAATCTTTAGTTCTTGGAAACAAAACTAGTAGAATAATATTAAAATGCTTCAGTTTCCCATTGACATCTAAGATTTCTGTTAAGTTCGAGAAAATAGCCACTGACTAAAATAGCTAATTTACATTGTTTTTAGAGACTACTGTTTTCTTTACAAAGAAGGCTCCAAAAGACTTTTTAAAATGTCTATGAGTAGGCAGGTATGTAGGCAGTAGCAAGAATAAGTGAGAGTAAGCACTGAAATGGTATTAAATTGAATCAATTGTTTTTTCCCAAACTTATGGTAACAGATTATGTAAACTATTTTTTATTCTAGGCTAGTTAGTTGCATTTTCACTGAGGATGAAATGACTTTAAGACATTAAGGCCAAAACTCTTAAGCAAGATGCCATATGACTGTTTTTCTTCTTTAAGTTGCACTTTTACAGGAGCTTTAAATGGTAAATCCTGCAAATATGCTTGCAAACTTATACATAGGTATAGTTTTGATAATTTTGAAATGGTAAAGCAGTTTAGCCATTGTGTATACTGTATTGGAGATGTTGTCACTATGTTGATTTGATCCAGTCCAACAGACATTTGTTGCATGCTCCAGTTCTGTCCTTAGGATTATAAAAGAGAATAAAAAAGGAGTCTTGTGTACACAGCTTGCTCAGAGCCTATTTGGGACTCAGATAGGGAAGGAAGTCATAGGATTGCAAATGTGTACCCCCACTTTCTAGAAAATAAGTTTCAAGTGTACAGCATTATAATTTGACATACACCACAAAGTGATCACCACCACAGGTCCAGTTACCATCCATCACTATACAGTTGACCCCTTCACCCATTTCCCCAACCCCCTTCCCTTCTGGTAACCACTAATCTGATCTCTGTATTGATGAGTTTTTGTTTTATTTTGTCTGTTCACTTACTTTGTTTTTTTTTTAGCTTCTAAATGTGAGTGAAATTACATGGTATTTATCTTTCTTTGTCTGCTTATTTCACTTAGCATAGTACCTTCAAGTTCCATCCATGTTCTTGCAAATGGCAGGATTTCATTCTATTTATGACTGAATTATATTAATATTCCATTGTGTGTGTGTCTATAACATCTTTATCCATTCATCCATTGATGGACAGTTAGGTTATTTCCATATCTTGGCTGCTGTAAATAATGCTGTAGTGAGCACAGGGGTACATACGTCTTTCTGAATTAGTGCTTTTGTATTCTTTGATAAACGCATAAAACTAGAATAGTTGGGTCATGTGGTATACACCCTTGTTAAGATATAACTTTGGCATTCTTTTTATAAACCCTATTTCTAAAGTTTTTTCGTAAAAGTATTTTCAGTAAAATGGCTAATATCCTGCATTGGGTTCCGTTATTGTTCACATTGATCACTAATAATAAAGAGAGGAGGGATGTGGTGGAGAATTGGAGGGAAGGGTATTTCTCTAAAAGGTGAAAAAAAAGTTCAGTGCTAGATCTAATTTTTTTGGGTTAACTCTTTCTAGGCACTGCTGCTTAAATGCTATTGAATTCTCATGCTTTAGGTTTAATGTAGCATGCCTAAAGTATGCATTAGAGTTTAGTTGGAGCTTCCTTTTTTTTAAGATTATAATTTAAAAATTGATTGAGTCAACTCTTTTGTTTTTCTGTAACTTATTTTCATATTGTATAGTGTTATTACAGAATACCTCATACATCTGGACATTTCTTTCTGTGGTTGATTATTACATTGCACTACAATCCAAAGGTTGTCTAGAATGGTTTTTCTAAGTCTCTGTGTAGATTTGGGTACATTCATTTCCTTTGCAGAAGTTGACACTGAAACTGCAAGACTACTTAAGCTGGCAGATTTTCATCTGATTACCATATAATAAAGACTAAAAGCAAATCATGACTCCCACTTGTAATTAGCTCCTTTGTTGACTATTTGAGTCAATTTGTCAAGGCAGTTAGAAACTGTAGTTTTATTAACACTTTTTGTAATATCTATGTAATACTCAGCTTTTCCCCTTATAGGTTAAGAGTGAGAAGGATATTCTACATTCTCTCTTCCACCCAGATTCGTTCCCCTGTTACATTATAATTTTATAAAATAGTATGTTTTCCCTCTAGACTGTAAGTCCTATGAGGGCAAGAATATCTGTTTTTGCTCATCATCTTCTCTCCAGCAGACTCGCATGGTGTCTAGCACATTTAAGAAATTACCAGTTTTGTTGAATGATTTTAGAATTGGGTATTTGCAGTTTAGTTCACTAAACATGTATTGACTTGTTCATTATAAGACTTGAGCTCATTTTCAACTGTTTTCTTTCTGGTGAAATTTTCTGTGGATTTTTGTACAGTTATTGTTGTTCAGTCACCAAGTTGTGTCTCTCACTATCAGCTGAAATATAGTAGAATGTGATGTATGGGTTAGTCATCAGTTTAACTTGTGCTCATATCTCTATTTTAGGCATGGCAGAAATTAAATCTCTTTTAGTTTCTATGAGGTAAACCATAATTATGATTGTGTATTTTTAATATAGGCAGTCTTTAAAAAAAAATTGGTTATTTATTTTTAGCCGCCCTGGGTCTTGGTTGATTTGTGTGGGCTTTTCCTGTTTGCAGCTACTCCCTTGCGTGCGCAGATTCCTCATTGCAGCAGCCTCTCTTTGGAGCACAGGCTCTAGGGTGCGCGGGCTCAGTAGTGGTGGTGCAGGGGCCTAGTTGCTCCAGGGCATGTAGGGTCTTGCCAGATCAGGGATTGAACCTGTGTCCTTTGCATTGGCAGATAGATTCTTATCCACTGTGCAACCAGGGAAGGAAGTCCCATATGAAGTCTTTAGTGCTGAGACTAAAATTGGCATGTGATCTCTAACTGATTGTTGTGGCTGAGGTCCTTTTAGTGTTTTCAGTGGGCACAGTAACTTTGGAGTCGTACAGGACTGCACGTGTGCAGGCTTAGTCACTCAGTCATGTCCAACCCTTTGTGACTCCATGGACTATAGCCCGCCAGGCTCCTCTTGTCAGGGGATTCTCCAAGCAAGTATACTGGAGTGGGTAGCCATTTCCTTCTCCAGGGGATCTTCCTGACCCAGGGATTCAACCCCGCGTCTCTTGCGCTGCAGGCAAATTCTTTACTGTCTGAGCTACCAGGGAAGCCCATAAGACTTTGCATACCTCTAGTAGAATTGACTACATTGAGCTTCTGTTTGGACTCTGCTGATAGACTGGGAATTCCTAAAAGAAATAAAATAGTAACAATAAGAATTAGCATTTATCACGTACTTACTCTATTCCTAGTCATTGTGCTAGATTGCATTATATGCATCATTTCATTTAATCCTCATAACAGCCCTGTAATATGAGAACTGTTAGGTTTACTGACCAGGAAACAAAGATGAGTGGTCAAGCAACTCATTCAAGGTTACACAGCTAATATGTTGTGGAACCTAGATTTAAACTTGGCAGTCTTATTTATTCAGCTTGCCTGGTGGTTATGCCTGGATCAAGAAACAGAAGCTTTCCTTTGGTTTCTTTATGTAGATAGATATATATACTTAGAGTAAATGTTGATATTTTTTGAAATTGCCACCCAGCATAGTTTCCTTTGGATTATAATTAATACATGACCAGACCCTCACTTTTGTTAGTACTGAGTCCATTTCTTTGCTATTTCAGCATCACATCTCATAAATGTCTTGTACTTCTTGAAACTGCTGATGCCCCCACTTTGATTCTTAGCATTTGCTCTTGCCCCTTTCATTGCTTTCTTTAAA